GACTAACTTTTGGCCCCTCTCGCTCGCGTGCATCGACACTTGGACTCGTCGTTTCTTTCTCCAACGCGGAAGATCGCATCGCGTCTAATGGCAGCCGACGCGACACCCGTTGTCTCTTTCACGACGTTCCACCCAGCGACTCGATAATGCCAACACTATTCTTTCTCTGTCCATCTCGAAAGCCAGGGTCGAGGAGCAGACGATGTGCTTAAGGGTCGGTTCTTTCGACGATACCTCGCGAGATTAGGGATCGAACGAACGATGCTGCCGAGAGATTAGGACGCTCCTACCCTCGATACGTACGTTACACCAGGGATTATATCTCTTTTTTTCCTATGCAATCGATACGCCAAGATTGGGCAGAGTCGTAGCAAATTTTATTCTCATTTTTACAGAAAACGTAGTCGTTGGTTGTTAGGTAATTTTCACATTTTTGGGGAAGGTCAAATTTTTATTCACGATCGACGAAACTAACTTTGGTATAATAATAATAATCAATAATTAAGAATGTCTAGAACTATTTGCATATTCAATTCTAACTATTCAATTGACTTTTCCTATAAATGTGATTGATGAATCTCGATAGGATTACAAAACTAAGTACTAATAGCAAATTTTAGATCGTTCAGTTTCTAATTGTCTAAAAACGATATTTTCGACTCCTAGGAAATTAGTATTGGTGTTAAGAACTTCAGCTTCATTTAAATTGCTCGATTCTTTCCAAATTTGGAACATTCAATAAAGGTTTTGCTGAGTTTGTAATGAAACCAATAAAAATCTTTTTCAAAGCCATTAGTTTTTAACTTTCGATATACTCGTTGAAAAAAAAAGCATAGCTGCATAATTCTTATCAAACAGCAAATCATCGAATCAATCTAATTTTTAGCTAAATAAGAGGTTCGAACGAACGACCATGTATCTAGGTTACCCTAAGTTGGACTATCTAGTTCAGTGCTAAACAAGTCGAGCGTAGTAACTGGGTTAAGCATAAGTTAGGCTCAGGTTAACTCTAGATTGGTCACGGTTATGCTGACGTTTCTGTTACGCTGTATTAGATGTTGCGAATACAAAGCGGTCTACTTTGAGGCACAGCGATTTTATCAGCTCGAAAGGAGGAACGGAAGATTTTTGAACGTACCCAGAGACAATTCATTGGTATCGATGATTTTATTGCATTGGATTGACTCATATTTACAACAGGGGGACACATACATATGCATTTTCGTCTACTCTACCGATTATCTACATATATAACTTTTCTTTATTTTCGCCTTTAATCATGCTTACTTTATTCACCGTCGTCGCTTGCAGCTTACCTAATCCGTACGGTAGAAACGTGAGATACGAATTTTACTTAAGTCTTCGCCAAGGAGTCCGTCGGTCCTCTCGTACAAAGTAACGATCGCGAATCACAAATGTTACCCGTGGAAAGCGATAGGCGCGAAAAATTTGCCCACGCGAAACGAAACCGTATAAAATGAGAACAGATATACACGCGAAAACAAAGAATAGTGATAAAACGTCTTCTATTGCAAAGCTCTGAGACGATCGTTCGCGCGATCCAACTAGAATAATTACAATGGTAATAATAATGACCAACATTTCGTTCGCTATCTACGCGCCGCTTAAAGCTACTATCACACCGATTTATACATTTTTCGCCTAAAGAATACATAGATATGCGGTCGACGTGTAACACGTTCATTGCGACACACCCGGAACAAGTTAAATTGTCGCACAAGTTTCGCCGGATCCGTGCTGACGCGACGTACAGTAGTCCCCGCTTTGCTGCCCGCGTTTCTCCCCGCTTTGATGTCGCTTCGCCTCGTAACGAGCTTCCAACGCACCGAAGGAACCGAGGCGAGAAATTTTACGCAATGTTTATAGCATTCTGGGGGAAAATAACACCAAATTTGTCACGATTACGAACAGTCGATGTCCTTCGAGCTTAGTAAGAAAAAGAAAGACTTTGGCTAAGACATTCGATCTATTCCTTACAAAGAATCGAAGTCAGGGACTACTGTATTTACGATCGAGCCAATAGTTCCGCGAGATCTCGATCTTCTCCTGGATACGTGTATCGATCTCGCAGTGAGCGTGTTAATCCGTACGTTCACGGAATTTACGCGCGAAACACGCTCCTGCGAACTGCTCTCATGGACGTAATTCTAGCAAGTTTTCCATTTTGTGTGTTCAGTACCCTCTGGATATTACGTTGTAACATATCGAACGGATCAGTGGCCGTCATATTGGCGAATATCTCTGCAATTGTTTCATTTTCCACTTGGGTGTAAATACAAAAAAAAATGGGCAAGAAATTTTATTTTTCAAATGTCTCCACAAAATCTATTACAATTAAACGTATTTTTTGTATCGTATGAATTGTAAAGTGTTATTTAAATGCGATATTATAGATACCCAAGGATCGACGTCGCCTAAACATTCATTTAAAGTAATTGCATCACTAGTGTGGCAGTTGTTTGAAGAAACGTAAATGTTACTTTCAATATAATAAAGTCTATGGTCAAAATATTAAACACTTCAGCCATTTTGCTTCTTGTTTGTTCTTGAACTAACCTTCCAAAATAAATTAAACGTATCAATGCATTGTCCCATTCAATTTTATTTTCTTAGTAAATTGTTTTTAGTGTCGTTTAATTTTTTCCTCTGAACATAACGTCGGATAAACGATGAATTGAATAACAACTAACAGAACAACCCAATCGTTTCCAGAATAAAATTCGTATAGCGAAAAGGTGGCAATTATCGAAAGTTTCGAAATTAAGGGAATTACATTGACAAGTAGCAAAAGATTCTCGCCCGAAAACGCAGGGCCACGTGTTTGACGGATTAAAATTAAAAAAGCTGTACAACGCGTTTCCAAGTCAATAAAACGTACGTGCTTCTGAGTTCTTCGAACTCAAAATCCCGACAATTTACGTAAACGCCATTGCAAACATCGTAACTCGATGGCAAAAATGCCTGGACTCGAACGATACGTAGTTTAATTAATCGTCACGTTCGAAAGGGAAAACATGTTTACCCGTAGCGAAAGAAACGGACTTTTCATATGTTACAACCTAATATTCCACCCACGTATCCTCGAATATACGTTTCCCTTGTTTTCGTCGACGATTATTCGTTACGCGCGCAACGCGTCTCTGCGGCAGGTACAAATATTTACAAGTATTTACACAAATAAGTAATCGTCTCGCAGGACACCATCGATTGAGCTTTCATGCGACGATTAAACCGATATCATGGGGGCCGGTTTCCAATAACGATCGAACCAATACACGCTATCTGCTCCATGTTGATTTAACTCCCAGCGCGGTTTATTTCGCTGATACTACGACCGATTATTTGCGTTCTCGAATATGCACGCTCGGTGTTTTGCACCTCGCAACTGCTCGGCTCGGTTGAAATATCATTGTCGAGGCAGAATTGTCCGCGACGCGTTGTGTCGTCTAATTCGATTATCTGTTTGCTCGGTGTTTTTCTCTGTTGCACGGCTGATTTCGAAATTAAGAATAATCTCTCTGCGAAATGAGCGTACCTGTATCGTCCTTCCTGGAAATATTCTTCCACGATAAATCCGCAAATTTTACGTTCGACTCTGCGGGGTGCGGTTCGCAAATTTTTGCCATCGTTTTGCAGTGAAATTTTTGTGAATTCGATGCACGAGTAACGAATAAAACTTTTGCATTCGTTCGTAAATTGAATAAATTTTTCAAACCGAAATTTAAACGAGCAAAATCTGTATTTTACGAACGAATTTACAATTTTTATATGGTGAATAGAATTTGCTTAACTCGCAGTGAGTTAGAGATATGACATATATGTATAGTACATATATAGGATAAATTATAAAATAAAAAGATCGATTCAAACGTTCTGTAATAAATTAAAGTGGAAAATGCAAGTACTTTACAGAGATGAGAAAAGTTGTCTGACTATGTATGGTATAATCTCCTTCCTGTCGACTCACCATAATAGGAGATTATACTATAGCCAATCAGACTTGCTATTCAACTTCTTTCATATTTGCCAAGAACATTAACACATTGACTGTCAAGACCCGTTGGATGCCAGTTGATAAGATTCTACCAAACATATCTGTATCTCCACTATTTTATAAATTAAATTAATAAATCTGACACAAGGATAAAATTAAGATGTTGCTTAACGAGAACTGAAAAGATCTCATACTTGATAGTTACCTCAACGAAACACACATAAATTTCACCTGTTTTTACAAGCAGTCCTTTACATCGTAATTTTCAAATCAGAAGTCGACCAATTCGAGTCCTGACCCACTGCAGACGTTTCCACGCGTAATCGCGTATCTAGCTCGTCTAGTGGTCCAAAATGCTAGGTTAAAGAATAACCGCAGGCTTGATCCGATACAGGTGCGCCGATTCTCACTGAACTCGCGCGCTCGAACAGACTCGAAACGTACCATGGTATCCGAAATACAGTGTAATGCTCGCTTTGTACAGCTCGACGAAAAGAAGCTATCCCCCCGGACGATGAAAATATCGATCGCGTCGATAGCTGGCTTTCTTCGTCGGTGCTTCGCGATCACGAGACTCGACGGAAAGTCCGAGACTAATCCTAGAAACAGAAACGAATCGTCGCCCCCGCGCCGTTTGGTTGCCGTGGATGAGGTAGTTGGTTGTCTCGAAACCATGCAGTAGCGTATTATACACGGCGTTCCCCATTGTTCTCTCTTTGTTTACGTCTTTGGTATCTCTTCTCGGTCCCGAAGCCGAAGCAGTTATCTCCTCCTCGTTTTATTCGAGAAACACGACGATCCCCGTTCCGGAGCATCCATTCCCGAGCCTCGAAGCCGATCGAACCTCGTTTAAAGATTCTCTATCGCGAACCGCGTTCCCTCATTTCGAGGGTTGCGTCAACTGACCGATGTCCCCGGTGTAACAAGGCTGGCCGAGGATCAGAGGGCACTGCGCCTTCCTCGGGAAATGGATGTTCTCGCCCTGTCACAACATCTTGCTGAGGTAATTGGTGGACCCGGGCGGCGGTAGCAGGAAAGGAGAGACGAAAGAGTGGCCACCGGGTCCGTGGTGAACGGACGCGTAGCCGGACTGTTGATTGTGGCTCTGCGCGGAGGTGGCCAGGCCGCTGAGTACCGGCGAGCCGGTGTCGTGCAGCTTCCTCATGTGCTTCTTCAGGTCGAAGTTCCTGCAGAACCCTTTGCCGCAGATCTTGCACGAGAACGGTTTCTTGTCGTTGTGCGTGTGCATGTGAAAGGTCAGGTTGTAGATCTGGTGGAACGCCTTGTTGCAAATGCTGCACTTGTACGCCTTCTCGCCGCTGTGCGTGAGCTTGTGGTTCTTGTAGTTGCCCTTCTGGTGGAACCCTTTGCCGCAGTACTCGCACACGAACGGCTTGAAGTTGGCGTGTATGCGACGATGGGTGTTCAGGGTCGAGCTTCTGTTGAACGCCTTGCCGCAGGTCGAGCATTTGTGGGGCTTCTCCGCCGTGTGGATGATCTTGTGCCTGCACAGCGTGCTCGCCTGACGGAATCCCTTCCCGCAGATCTTGCAGATGAACGGTCGGGCTCCGGTGTGCACAGGCATGTGTCTGGTCAGGTTGTAGTGGGCGTTGAACACCTTACCGCATTCCGAGCAGGTGAAGGTTTTCTGTTTGTTCGTGGCGGTGAGCTCGTTGCCCCTTGGACCGGGACTCTTCTTGCCGCGCTGACTCTCCGGTGAGATCGCGGTCAAGCTCACCCTCGATGAGGCCTCCTGGATCGCCGTGGGCGGCGGCGAGCTCTGAGGCACTGCCGGAGCCGCGGGCGGCGGCGCTGGAAACGCCCTCAGCAACGGGTTCGGATGATAGTACAGGAGAGGATAGTGTTGCAAGAGATTCTGATGCCTCAGCGTCGGCACGTACTTCTTGAACGCCGACTCCAGGTGCGCGGAATACGTCAGCGACGAGATCGTGGGCGGCTGTTGAAGGATGCTGGACGTCGTGGTCGGCGGCGGGGCCTGCGGCGACGTCGTCTGCTGGTTGCTCTGCTCGGTTAGACGTTTATCCGGTTCCATGATCTTCGCGATGGAGAAGGTCAAGTTTCTGCACGGCGTCGGCGAGGCAACCCTCTCTGGTGGGAGGCTGGTCGGTGTCTCGGTCGCCATTGTGCTGCCGGTGGAGAACGGTTGCATGGTAGACCTGAAACGGAAACGGCCTGGGTCAGTTTGTCTTCCCCTGAACAGGCTCCGTTTGTTTTCACGGTGGGGAGAGGCGAATGACCAGCAACGCGCCTTTGTATTTAACGCCGCCCATTCGCGATTCGGTGACGCTAATTAACGCCGTTTTACGATACTCTCGAAGATATACCATCCTCTAAATTATGTCTGCGACTTTGATATAACAAGGAAAGCCCACGTTCGCTTTAAATATAGGCAATGTCGAGCATATACACTGTGATTATAACATTACGTGTGTATTTTCTGTTAAAGTTGTTGTCTATATTTATAATGGAACTTTAAAGTAAAACTTGTCAGGACCAAAAGCCCATGTTGAGAATATGAAGGTCTCGTCATAAAATTTTTCCCATGATATTTTCCACGAGTCCTTTAATTTCAAACTATCTTCAAATTATTATATATTTATTTTAATTACAATATACGCGTCGTAAAAGTTCCAGTAGAGTAGCAAGTCAAACTGAATAAGTGTGAAAAAACGAAATAATAAGGTCGCTTCAGAAAATTGTATCCGTACCTTAAACTGCACTTTCCAAAGATGGACGAACAAACTATCCAGTGACTTATGGATGATTGGAACGTACCGTTGGGAAAGATGATTTTTAGAGAAGTAATTGGATCGACCCGTGTAATTCCTGGCACGGCGCGCAGTGTACGCGAGGCTATAGCGGTCGAATAATGGGGGAGTACCCAAATCATGGCGATCAATTTGATGACTTCGAGGACCGTCGTTAGTGCCCGCGCGATCCTCCCTTCGTGGAACTCCGTTAATGTTTTAGTGCACGTACACAGTGACTCGGACGGAACCCACATGTCGGCGAATCCGAGTGAAACATGTGGTACCGGCTATTATATCCACTCAATTGGCCCTCGTGTTGACATAAAAAACGAGTACGGTCCGCATTGAACGATGGGGGCTGGTAAACGTCGAACATCGACGAGGGAACGCCGCGCTCTATTTCGCACTTCGTCTCGAAGCTAAACACGCCGAAACATCGTTCGACCTTATCTCTATCAGCGAATTAGAAATGTCCAGGATCTCGGAAAATCTCGAAAAAAAGGATTGTCAAGCAGGATCTCGGGTCTATCGAGATCTCGAATGTTTCGAGGTTATCTTCTAATATTCCCTACCAGTCACTATTATCAACACTTTCATTCGCTATTATATACATAGTAACTGGATAAAGGCTCGTTTACCTTTTACTCGTAATCGATCATGATGGTTATTAACAGTTGTTTATCTTTCACATTTATTCGGAATCTCAATTTATATACTGTAATCACGAAAGCCTGATCACCTCGGACGATCCAAGATCTCGGTTTAGATACGGTATTCCCTTTTTTCTCGAAGATCTTGCTTAAAACAAAATCATGATAGACAATAGAGTTTCGTTTCGGATATCGAGACTCGTCGTTTTATTCGTACTGGTTTCGAGCTTCGGGGCTACCGTTCCAATCTAATTACGTATGCGCGCGCAATTTGAATGTTGATTCGCGCGCAAAACGGCATGAATATACAGGTAGCCATTAAGCATGTGCAACATGGAAAAGGGGGATGAATGGCAGGACTGAATGAGACGCGAAATGGTCAGCACAGTTGAAGAGCAAGCTTCCCTGAGGTATCACAGAAAGTTTGCACGTCGAAAAGTAGAAATGTTTGCTCCGTAGAATGGCGTTATGTTTGGACTTGGAATGACGGTTGGAATTGGATAGGACGTTGCTGGTAGCCTACTGAAATACTCGTTTCTGGTTCGTCGAAGTCCGCGAATTCCTGACCGCCGAAGGGGGAATCGAATTTTAATTTACCCCCCGTCCACGCTCCGAACAACCGGTGCGTGGCACAATAGTTCTCGATTTACAACAATAGAACTTACGACTTGGCAAAAACGAAGAAATACATAGTATCGTTGCTTTCTAATGCAAGTTCATTGTTTGCAAGTTCTGTGATTTCACTGTACGATTCGCCTTTCGGATACCATTTCACTGTTAATTCCTGGTTTGCTTGTTTCGGAAAATTGTGACAGACATTTTAAACATATAGTCATGGTTGAATAATGCCATATGACGAGCAGCTAATCGTAAAAACCCACGCTGAACTTTCCCAGTATATAATTGCCACAATTGAATCTAATTTGAGCTAATCTAGTAATCTAATTCGGAACGAATCAAAGCATAATACAGAGATTTAACTGTGTTAGAATGCCTAAAATCCCCAAGGCAGCCCCGTCGATAAAACCAAAAGCTCCAAAGGCTGAGCCAGGCAATATTCGGGTTCGACGAGAAACGGGCTCCAAGGTCGCCAGGCAATATTCTTCGAACATCCACCATATATCCCCAAAAGTTCAAAAAATCGGTACGCACGAGAATTTCGTGCGAAACGGCGAAAATATCTCGCGTACGGACGGTATTTAAAGCGATGAAAAATGTACGGTTCCAGGAACGATGGAAATACCGAACCCCTCGGCGCAGGGTGGAATTATGACGGCAGTGGTCCTGCCTAAAGCCCCGCCCATTACCCGGTACCTTTCGATTGTCCCGCAGCCAAAGGCAGCCCTAATAACCAGGGAACAAGGAGCGGAAAAGCAACCCCGGTGTGAGAAGCGAGACTCGAGAAGGGAAACGATCTCCTCGCGCACCCCCGAAACGCCCCTATGACCTATAGAAAACGTTCCGCGTAGACGTCGGGGCTTGATCGTCACGGAACGGCGCAACTGTCGTCGATAGAAAACGACAAAGGCCGCGATGATTATGCGCCTTCGAGTGTTCCTCGAAACGTACGATTTCGACTTTGCCCACCCCCCTCCACGTTTCGATCCGCTACCCGTCGCGGAGTATCTTCTTTTCCACCCGGTCCCTTTCAACGTCTCCTTAATGGACAGGTCTCTCCTGTCTCGCGTTTGCACTTTTCCCTCTCGCACTTTATTTCCCTGCTACAACGACCGAGCCTCTGCTTGTCTTTTTCACTCCCCTTCTCGCCCTTTTCATCACTTTCCCGCCCTTCTGCTTATTCCGCGTTCTCCTCTCTTTTACGATTCAAATGTCTCTTTCGTTTTGCCCTCACTCGTTCCCCTCCTGCCCCCTCCCCTCTCTTCATCCGTCCCTCGCGACTCCTCTTCGTTGTCACTCTCCCTCTCGTCGTCTCCCTCCTTCTCGTTTGTCGTCGCTTCGAACGAGAGCGAACGAGACGCGAAACGCGAGATAAGAGTGGTGGGGACGAGCGGGACGCGATTGGCCGCCGGTTTTATCACCCTCGGAAAAGTGACGCGGAGGGGGAGGGAGGGGGATAGCCGTGAAGGACGTGGTGGGAGTCGGTATTGTTACAGTACTTAACGAGCGGCCGAGGTAATCAGTATCGCTCCTTGCGGCGGCCGGCAATTCCGCCAATTTGCTTCAATCTCGGCTGAAGTATGGCCGACGCGCAATCTGGGACCATTTTGTTTTCTTGGGCACGGCTACTAATCTATCGAAATCCCTCACTCGATCAAAGACGCCCTCGTGTTTGCGTTATTCGTTTCTATTACGCGCGGGAAGCGTTTCGGGTCGCTCGATACGCGACGCGGACAAAACAAAATCCGGGTTTCGTGACCCACTCGACGAACAGGGGCCCTCGATCGCAGGAACACCGCAGGTGAGGCTGGCATTAAATGTGCAAAGTTTACCGATGCGGTTACAAATGGTCCGAAGAATCCAATCACCTCCAGTAAACTATTAGCGACGATGAGCGGGCGGTTGGAACCTAAAGAAAGTTGAAGGAGCTCGAAGGAACTTGAAATGGCTTTGCAAATTTACCCGCCTCGTTGTCGGGCCATTAATTATCTCCTCCCCTGCCCCAACGAACGATCGGCCTTTCGTTTCCTTGCTCTAGTTACTTTTTCATTGTTTCCGCCGCGACGGTAAGAATCGCCGAATCTCGACTCACGGTCTCGCTCGATTCCACGAGTTTCCAGTAATTCGGGCGTCGGTTGTTTTCACGATTAAACTGAGGGGGCGGGCGAACGTTGCACGCTGCAACGTTGTAAGGGTACAGGTTGACACGCTCATCAAGATAAGACGGTTAACCCCGAAACGGTAAGCAACGATGATTCGAATCAGTGAGACTCCCCAATATGAACATTCCGGATCAAGAGGGTAAAAGTGGGCGGATAGGGGTTTTGCGTGTACAGAGTGCATCAATCACCTACTCCTTCTGCGAATATACCTGCTCATGAGGTCAGACGCCTATCGCTCTTTGCCCTTAAGTGGCGATAAGGAAATAAGCTGGCCCGAACGAATTCTATTGCTTAACTTTATTACGATCGCGCACCGACCGTGAGATACCGCCCGAAACACCCCGTAGCCACCCCCCTACGGCCCGGTTTCTTCCTAAAACATACACGCGTAGAAAATGAAAAGGCGTTTCAGGAAAACTCGAACGAGTTCATTTACGCTCGAATTAAAAGCTGTTTCCACGGGCGAGGCGACGCTTCGCAGCCCCGACACGCTGCAGCTGCCAGACATTCTGTAATTTTTATTAGGACGGGTCTCAAGGCCTGGACGGCGTCTTTGGTGTAGAAGAGGCCCATTAGACGAGCCTCCCTTCATTGTTCCATCCCTGGCGCTCCGCCTCGACGTGATATGGCGCGTGAACGGTTGACATATAATTAGCATTTGGGGTAACGAAAGCTCGACTGAGGATGACAGCAGACACAATGCACACCCCCTCGGTTATCCTGTGTCCCATAACTCGGCCACAAACCCGCCCTTTCTGCCCCGTTCGCCGCGACGAGCCCTAAGCCGATTCGAAATTAGCCGACTTAATCGCCTGAAGGGGTTTCGACGGCTTTCTCAGCGAATTTTAAGGATTTCGAATCGCTTTAAAAAATCAGCCAAACCAGACTCGGGGCTAAAGATTTCGGTGGCTATTTAATTTATAGTCTGCATAGTATAGTATTTCTTATAAAGGGGATGTTGATCTTTTTGATTAGT